CCCGCGGGCCCCGCGCCCCCGGCCACGGCCCCCCCGCCCCGCTGCCGAGGCTTCTGCCGCTTGCTGCTCTCGGCCACAGCTTCACAACATGAAATGTATTTTCCTATGGCTTCTCTTGCTGCGAGCACCACGGCGTTCCTCCTCGCCTGGTTCTTTTCCCCTTCTGCGATGGAATGTTTCACCTGCTGCTTTTTGGGGGTGTTCAGACCATTTCTATGGCATTTTATTGATACGGAGAGAGTTTCTCTCCCAAGGTGACTGGCATGGGCTGGCAGGGCCTGGGGCAGGCTGTCAGTCGGAGCGGGGTCTCACCCAGGCGCTGGAAACGGAGATGCAATAAGGCAGCTGTGGGTTAATGTCTTGTTTGTGGGTGAATTTGACATTATCTAAGCATAGTTTATCACTTGGAATAGGTGTGTAGTCTGGACCGGAGATGACCGGGTCTTCTTCTTCAACCCTACAATGCAGCTGTCAGTGTGGGAGAAGCCGGTGGACCTGAAGCACCGCGGCGACATAAACCGGATCATCGAGGATCCTCCTCACAAGCGCAAGCTGGAAGCTGCAGCAAGTAACTAAAGCCCTGTGATTATTTGCCTCTATTTAAACTCAAATGTCGAATGGAACTTGGTCACTAAATATGTTCAGTGGAAGTTTGATAACCGTAATTAGAAGGGTTTTCCTTTTGAGATTTCATAGAAAGTATCGTGTTAAAATTGATGTTTATTGCAAAATCCTTATTTTCACTGAAATGCTGAATTGGGGAATAGAGCGTTCGCATTATTGGCAATGAAGAAACAGGTGGCTTCTTATATTGGATGAATCTTTGATGTATAAAATACATCTCGGAAGAGGCTGTCTTTATGTTTTATTGCACTTATTTCCAAGATGTACATTAGGCATGCATTACCAATGCATTATTCAGCTGTTACACAAAAGCAGACACTCCATAGCTAACGATTATCCAACCAAGTTGTGGAGGGGAGAAGAAAATCCCGGTAGTAAATCTCTAATAAGTGCTGAAAGGTTTGGTGGAAATGTGGGTGCTTCCATCTAAAGCTGGCTCTGCCAGTCACCCTCTAAACGCTGTGGATTCCTGAAGGGAATGGTCGTGGGTAAAGCATAGCTGCTGATCTGCAGTAATACACGTTAAGTGGTTGAAAATACAGTGGAACAGACACCCCTTGGCTTGTCAGTGATCCAGGGTGTTTGCTGTCTGGTCCTCCCCGAGGCAGGCAGTTGGCAGAGGCAGTTTTCCCAGCCTGACTGTCCCATCCCATGCTCCTCGCCACGCCATCGTTTTGGACTGCTATCCATAGCTTTGCTGTCCAGTCCAGATTCTGTCCGTGCTGGTGACCAGTCCAGGAGCAGCCCAGCGTGCCAGCCTGTGCTTCCTGGTGCAGTAGTGGCTTCATAGTTGGTTCCACCACATTTCTCTCCAGAGATTTGGTTTCACCAGTTGATGCTGCCTCCCTGTGCTCTGTTACTGGGAGCTGCTCCTTGCCGTGTCAGTGCTCCTTTTATTTCCTGACGCTTTACGTCACCTTTCACGTGGGAGCTGTGTCCGTAAGGCCTGCCGTTACTGGGAGGACATCCAGGTGCTTGGCAGGCATTTGAAATCCTGCTTGTCTTGATTAGCTGCTTGGAAGTCTTGAATATTCTGCTTTACAGCAGCTTCATGGAAAAGCCTCCCTCAGCTGATGCCCATTCTTTAGTGGTGAGGTCTAGAAAAATGAAGGGGGAAAAAAAATGAGGCTTTTGTCATTCTTTTAAAGTGTCATTCTTATAAAGTATGTTCTAACTGAAAATAAGGCAGCAGTGCCAGCCCCGTGAAGCGACCTGCCTTTGGCACTCAGGCCGTCGGGGCCGTGGCGTGCGCTTCGCTCCCCAGGCAGGGCTCCCAGTCATCTCCGGCTCCCAGTTAGCTACCGCGGCGCAGGGGGTGCCAGTGTGCGATCTGGACTTGACGCGCTGTCTGCCTGTAGAGAAAAGTGAGTGAGCATCAGGGTTTATGTTATCAGTACTAGCAGAAGGTTACTGAAGAAAAGCTACAGAGAGTGGTTTTCTTAGTGTAGTCCTTATCAACATATAATATCATTGCATTTTTCAATATGAATTTCAATCGTCAGATGCTTGTATATGTATCATTTTTGTATATGGCTTGAATAACTTTAGCTGTATATCTAATAATTCCAAAGTGGATCTGCCGAAGTTCCTTCTTCAGGAAAAAATATAGCATACGTTTTTTATTACAGGATATATTGAAAGATCAATTAATTACTGACAAGGGGGAATAATGGCCAAAGACAAAACTGAGGGTCATTATTCATGGTCTATAATTAATTAATGAGAAGAGCCTAAAGTCATTGTTGATGTGTGCGACTTCAAAATTCTCGTTTTTGCTGTGTGTTCCATCCTTTTTATTTATTACCTATAAGTACCACCAAAATTTGATTCATGCACCAGTTTCTTTATGACCATGGTTTTCATTGTTGCAAATAGTCTTCATCTTCCTTGATATAATAGGGACTTGCGATTGCTCAGTATTTGAGAGAGTCAGGTTGTAATTAGTCTATATTAGCTGCCGAGGTGAAAGGAATTATTTGTTACCATTTCTCTTAGTTTGTAATCTCGAGTAAATAAATGACACGAATGAGCTGTGCGTTTGCAACAATGGTTGCCAAATTTATTTAGCTTAGTTGCTGCTGCTGAGTTTTAATTAGAATTTTTAAATCAAAGGCACAAAAACGGTTGGCGAGCATAGTTATTCCTAGGGTGCTGTAGGTTATCTGCACATCGTTCCGCTGAAAGATCAAGTGCATTTATAATTTGGGCATAAATGAAAAATTACTCATTTATCAATTACTCCGCCTCCAGGGAGTATTAGTTCCTAGGGAGATGTATGGAGGTGTCACGGCTCTTCACCAGCGGCTTCCCGTCAGCCCGTCCCGTGGAATCGGGGAGGAGGCGCAGCTCCGCCCGTGCCCCCGCGCAGCCGCTCTCGGCCAGCAGCACCCCGGCCCCTCGGACGGGGATGCGCCTGGGTGGAGGGCCCCACCGCCGACCGGAGGCAGGGCCGGGACAGAGACGGCGTTTCCAGGGCTTTCGCACCTTGATCTTCCATGTTCCTAAGTGCAACATCTTCTGGCGCCAACTCGCTCTTCTTGTCCCTGGCTGTCATTACTCCTCTGTCTCAGTACGGTCACAGGCTGACCATAATATCCCTACTTTCCCTCAAAGATTCCTTAAAATGTTTCTGTCTTATTGCAATGGAGAAAAACATTTTTATCTGTTCCTAGTCCTTCACCTGCTCAAGTGGTTTGTCTGGATGTTTAGGCTGAGGATGTTGTTTTTGCAGCTAATTAAAAGAAAACTGGCATTCCGACTACAGAAAATGGCACGTCCATTCATAGTTGTTATGATCCCTATTCAAAGTCAGTTATGATTTAGTTTACTCTGTTGCCACAAATATTTTGGACCCTTTAGCGTTCAGACAAAAATATGAAGCACAGTCCTTAGAAAGAGCATAGGTAAGCTCCTAGGCTGATGTGCGATCCAGGGGTGCCAGGTCTCTTTATAAAATTGCAAATCAGATTTTTGTGTGTGGCCAATGGATTGACAACGCTTTCACTCACCTGGTAAATGCTGGTGTTTCCTCTTTGTTCTGGAAAATGAACCGGAATTCATGACATGGCTGGGATGATTTAATTAATCAGCGCTAAGCTTGATAGACCATCGGATTGGGGCGATGCTCCGCTTCATGATCGCGTGGAAAGATTACTGTCAAGTAATACGCTTCCTCAAAGCTTTAAATCAATTATTAGATTTTGTTCTCGGCTGCCTCTCTTCCCTTTCACAGTCAGTTTATAATCTTACCAGAGGTCCAGCGGTGCGGTGTGATCCAGTACGTTCCCGAGTGAGAGTGTAGATACCATTTCTCATGTTTCACTGGGTTTTCCATTGCACTGAGATTTTGAGTGAAGATGCTGACTCTGATCCTGTCTCATTTACCCAAGGCAGTATACCCACAGCAGTCGCGCGTGCAGGCGAAGCGAGAAGGATTTGGTGTCCCTCCCTCGGGGACGCCGCCCTTGCTCTCCGGGGGAACCCGAGGTGTGTTGGGAACCCGCGGATGGAAGTAAACACTGAAATCAGGCCGTACCGTATCACATTCTTGTCTCTGAAAGCTATATAGAAACTCAGATTCAGTTTTATAAATGCCCAGTTCATGTATTTTTCATGACAAAATTTAAAAATTATATATCCTTTTCAGAAATCCATGAAAGATCTTGTCATAAGGTAACTTCACATTTGAGTTCAGCTTCAAGTAGAGAACTTCACATCATCGTTCATCATCACCAGTGAGTTTTCTCTTGTCCTGCGGACACGTCGAACAGGGAGGGCTTACCGCGCGGGCCAGAATTCTCACCGCTTGCTTGCTTTACTAAAAGAACATCCCGCCAGGATTCGTCATGTCTGAGCGTGCCATGACAGCCGTCCTTTAGCCGGCTCTGGGCGGGCTGGCTGTGGCGCGCAACGAGCGCAGGAGTGCCCCGTGGGCATGGCTGTTTCTTTTCTTGAATTGTGGTGAAATTTGGTAGGAACAGGACGGTGCTTGCCCGGTCAGCACTGAGCCTCGAGGCATCTTCAACTTCATCTCTCTCTGAAAACACCATCAAGTACTCTGTTGTTTCATACTATCACCTTCAGAATTCATTGAAGTTAAGACCACCGCTGCCTCCACAATTTGTTCAACTCCTGATTAATAGCTTTGTAATATCTCTGTTGAATTACATTCCACCTTCTGAGTTTACAGGTTGTTTTTCTTATTACTTTGTATTTTTAATTGAGTATCCCAAAGAAGAATTTAGCAAGAAGAGATAGTAGTTCCAGTGAATTTATGTATATTTAAAGCATTATTAAATTAATTTCTGTATCCATAATGCTCGTATATTGTCAGGAATGTTGAGCCCAAACTCTCCTTGTTTTGGAATGCCATTCATTTTTTTCTCTTTAGCATCATTTTAAGTTGTAGTAGCAAAGTGTCCATTTGCACCTGCTGTGTATTCCCTCCTCATGTGGTCTCTGCTCCTGGCCTTCCCATGCCGCAACATCACAGCTGCTGTTTGGTTTCATAGAATCATAGAATCGTCAAGGTTGGAAAAGACCCTTAAGATCAGTTTCTGTCATTCCTTTTGCAGTGATTTGGTGTATGCTGTGTTCATGCACTTAAAATAAAGAAAAGGTAATATTTACTGAAAGCATACTAATAAACACTTAATTTCCCTAAAATAGGGAAACAAAATGAGCTAAGAACAGCATTCTTAAATTGAAACTTGAAATAAATGACCAAATTTCTGTTACCTTCAATGATACAAAGATTGGACCTGGACGAGTAAAGGGCATTTGAAATTAGTTTATAAATTTCAAAATACCCACTGATCTCTATTTGTGTTCAGTCATTTTCTAGCAGATCTCTTGGAGCTTCGTCTGATTTCAGTGAGATCAGACCTCACCATGTCAAGTTATTCAAAACTTTTACCTCCGTAACCTAAGTTCAATTTTATATTTATTTTCAATTTACTTTTTCATAGTTTCCTAAATAGCAAGACATGTCTTCATTACCCACCTAATACAAAAAGGGTGAGGTTTGGTGTTTCTGATATTCCCAAGCTAACCCCATACAGTTCGCTTTTTATATTTCTTAACTAATTTATGGTCAGCTACTGAAGAGTCCCTGACACAAACTGAGCATTGGATGGACATGACTTCTGGTGGTCTGTCCATTTGAGTGTTGAGGAAAACTGCAGTTCATATACATGAAAAAAAATAGATTCCAGAAATAAATATCTGTTCCATATGCTTCACGTTCGTTATGACCGACAGTGCAACCTCGGAGTCTTCAAGTACGAGTGTCCAGGCCGAACCAGGAGCGTAACGTTGCTTTGGGCTTACTCCGCAACACCGGGAGTGTGGAGGTGGTTGGTATCTCCATAGCCTTGCTATGCTGGTGGTTGAATTTCTGGAAAAGCAGCATTATATTTGCTCATATAAGAAAGAGAAATGGGCTAAGGAGGGAAGTTGTGGTGCGAGTTAACACTACTGAATGCTTCAGGCTGCCAGGACTGAAATAATTTTGCAGAAATGTCTTTGTAGTTGTATTTTTAAGGGAAGGGAGGAGGGAGTATCAGGTGAGACAATAACAAGATTTAAATAAAGTCATGTCACAAATGAACAATGAACAATGAGCAGATTTTCAGAACGAAAATGGTCGGGTTTATTGCTAATTCTTTTATTTGGATGAAGGTGTTTCTGAGGACCTGATAAAATATGTGTTACTTTTAAAACACTCTGTGGAGAGTGAAAAATAGTAAATACCTGAGCAGCGGCCAAAGACGAGAAATGAAAGGATAATCTGAGGAATTTGTATTCCCGTTTATCTAGTTCAAATCTAATAACTATTTATTTCTTTTTAGCAGATAAATGTGTTAGTTCTTGTCCAGGGGATGAAAATGATGATCTTAGCATCAAAACTAAGAGAAATAAGTAAGTTCTAAAGTTTACTTACCTATATGTAATGTTGGGAAGCTAACGTCTGGTACAAATAAGTGCAAAGAGAAACACAATTACTTTTTTCTGTATGGATAACTACACCGATAAATGATGAGAGTCATTCCTAAGGTATCCAGTCTTCATCAAACTCCATGATTCTCTGAAATATCTGTTTCCCATGAACAGCATCCATTTTTGTCTGGGTAACTCTTACGTACTCTGAAATGGTTAAAAAAAGACTGTATGGATAAGGAGTTATTTCAAAGACCTTGGATAAAAGCTTTGTCTTCATTGATGTGAAGCAGATTTTTTTTCCACTGGTGTCAGAGTTTCCAGGCTCCGGGCTCAGAAATATCTGGAGGTATTTCTGTTATTATGCTTTTATTTGACCTTTATTACCGTGTGTGTTTCAAATTCTCATGAAGTAACAGGCAAAAAACCCATGTGCCAAATAAGCAACTCCCTCACCCTTTGCCAAAGCAGCAAGAAAATGAAGTAAACGTTTCTGTTTTAGAAAATGCCTTAAAGCCGTTTCATTCTATTTGACCTTTGGCCAGTAACTGCATATAGCATTAGCTGTTCATGCGGGCTGGCTATGATTAAGATACTGGTTTGGACCATTAAAAAAATAAATCTGTAAAATCTGCATAGATAGTGTGTTGTATTTTTGAGGACATTGTGACAAGTAAGCACAACAAAGTTCTGTATTTTCCAAGTGAATGTACTGCAGATAATTCTGTTCTCTCTTGTATTGCTATTCTTCTCCTCCTGCATTGGGTGGTTCTTCTGACCTCGGTAAGACTTTCTGGGGATTTGTATTACTATGAAGGAAGAAGCAGATACTCTGAATTCAGTACTCAGACTATTTAAGCATTTAATGCTTGGTAGAAAAGAGTATATTTATACTTTATATATGCTAAATATGTACTTTTACTATTTACATAGTATCTAGTATTTATAAACAGTATAAAAGTCTATATTTAATATAGAAGTATTTAAGAACACTTTTATTGACATCAGCGGGTCAGATAATAATGGGCCAGGATTACGACCTGTGCTAGTAAGGTGATTCCTTTCACTGATGGGCTGAGAAAATGTGAAAACGTCTTTTCCATTAACGTAGACAAATAGAATTTTAAAATTCCGGAAGCTTGTTCATAGAACTCCAGAAAAATGCACTTACTCAAAGGTGACTGTATGAGAGCAGCCCTGGGCGTCCTGTGCCGTGTGTCGGAAGGTCAGGCAGGGCCTCGCTCACTGTCTCCTCGCGAATAAGGAATACAGGACTTACTCACTTGAAAGACTAACTTTGAGTTTTTTAGTCTTTTATTTCCTTTACACTCAAAAGGACATTGTCAAAATCATGAGAGCCAAATATGGACCATCTTTTTGTGTATTTGCAGAATATATCTTTTCTTATTTTTATTTACTTGCAGACATACATTTTCGCATATATATTTTTTCCCCAAAGCAAAGAGATAAATACAGTTCAAGCTGGGCAATCTCAGCCCATCGGAGTTGCTGCATGACCCTCCTGCCTTAATGCATTGTAGCATCTTTCTTGTGGTATGTATTTATAGGTACATAGATACATACATATTTATATATAAGCATAAATCATGCAGCCCTCCAGCTAAAGGTGCGATCGTGTGAGAAACCCCGCAGCATGGTGGCAGGCACCTCCGGCACGGGCAGCAAACCAGCGCTGCGGCGTCCGCCGGCGCTGCGAAGGCATCTGGCCCGGCGAAGGGCGTTGGTGGGACGGGGAGGCATCCTCTGGCTCTGGAGAAGGTCGTTTGAGTCGTAGGCGACACAAACGACTCTCAGCTGTGACGCATGCCACAAAAGGTAAACAGCACGTGATAATGGGTGCGTGTCACCTGCTGTTTATGTCATCTTTTGTCTTTATATTATGCTATATTTATGCGTGGTATAATATAACTTCTAATCATACGTGAGATTTGTGGCAAGATATTCATTGAGAGGGTATTTAAAGCTCTGAGAACCCTATTGTAAGTTCTAACTTTAAAAAGAAATCTTCAGATTAGTAGAAGCTAATTCTTATTTGCTGTATTTGGGCAATTAGTCCTATGAAAGTCAAGGGCAACATTCACATAATAAACAAGTAAGGTTCGGCTTGACAACATAGCATTTTCTCAGACTTCGTTGTGATGATCCCAATTCCCCCGAAGTTGGACCTGTCACCAAAAAGCCGTAAAGTGTTTATTTTTCTGTCAGCAGAACATACGTCCCCAAACTACTACATGATTTCTACAGCTGTTTTGAATTTTAAATTCTCTTTCATAACATGTGAAGATTTCCTGACGTTTTGCTTTGTACCCTGAAACAGTGGCAGAATGTACAGGTTCATGGATGGACCTTTAAAATACTGACCTTTTACTAAAGAAATGCAGTCTAAGTGCTTGTTTAAATGTATTAATATTAGACCATAGCTAACAGTTCATGACATAAAATAAAATATTGTAGGATTTTCATTTCAGACTAGAATTTAGTGATCCTCAGGGTAAAAATCATGTAGAAACTCTGTTGCCATGCTCAGGTTATTTTCGTTAATGTGATGGAGGCACCCCACTGGGCACTGTGCGGTACCGTCCCGGCCGGGTGCCCGCCGCAGCAGGCAGCCCCCGTCTCGGCAGCTGAGGCCTAGGAAGGGTTCTTGGCGCAGCAGTTAGCACCGCTGCTGCCATCAGTTTGGAACTGATATTATTGTTTCTAAGTGCTGTGGGTCGCAGTTGCCCGCATCTGCGTGTGGCTGAATTAGCCAGCCAAAAGCAGAACTGGTGTAAAAACTGTGGCCCGTAATTCTTGGTAAGAAAAGCAGCCGAGTTACTCCGTGCCATAAACAGCAAAAGGGGAATTCTCAAGACGCAGAGTCTTACTAAGGTGCTGGTTAAGCTCCGAGTTTTGGGTAGGAGGATACACATCACCAACTTTTCATCTTCCAAGCTGCACATACAAGGTCCAAATCTGACTTTCTGTTTCTCTGCTTTGTTTTGCTTGGGAATGGACAAAGTGCTGCTCACTCCGGACTGAATCCAGAGGTGACAAAAGATTTGTCTTTACAGAAAACTAAGCAAATTTTCGTTTTGGTGCTGGATGGACAGAAAAACTATTTATATTGCTGTCATATTCCCATTAATAATTGCCTATGAAGGCAGTGAGTGTTTCCCTGCACTGAACACCGAATGCTGTTGGGAGAGAGGGAGCACTGCGGTCCCGCCGCACCGCGATGCTCCGGGCGCCCGTGCCCTGCAGGGCCGGGGCTGCTGGGCAGCACTGGCTCAGCACGCCGCGCTCCTGCCCGGGCCGTGCTCAGCGTGCGCGGAGACCGCTGCAAGCACAGGGCAGGACGTGCACAGCCCTGCACCTGACAGCTGCAGCAGAACGCGAAACTGAGCCCCATTTTTACCCCCACACAGCCATTATCCACTTATTTTTGCAATATCAACATTTTTTCTTGGTTAAGTATAACTAAAAAAGGTGTTACATGCTTTCAGGGTTTGTTTTTAAATATGCTGTATTCCCCATTCTATTTTATTTAATTTAAGTAAAGTTACTGAGTAAACCATATTGTTCCTTTGACATACAGTAAATCATCCGCTATACAGAAAGCGCTGTGCTAATGGTAAGATCTAATTGCATCAAAGTTCCAGCACAATTCTTTATAATTCAACTAGAGGGTCATCACCCAGAGGCTCGCGTTGGGTCACCGGTTCACAGTGCTAAGGATAGATCTGCTCTTTCCCTTCTCCTGGCGTTCGCTTTGGTGGCGAGCAGCAGACCTGACCCAAGGCCGGCCACGGAAGGTAGCGGGACTCCTTGCCTTCTCTTGTGGGCGTTTGCCCAGTGCTTCCAGCCAGAACCTGCATCTGCGGCTTTAGGGGCTCTGGGCCCCGCAAGCTGCTGTTGCACTTTTAGTTATGTTTCGTTGGGGTATAATGAAACGGGTTAAAAATACTGGAGTCAAATTCTTACTCAGGCAGTGCTCTGATTGTGCTCTCTACAAAAGAAAAACAATTTTCAGAGAAACGTTGGTTTTCTGGGTTTTCTTCACAGAATGACAGAAGGGCTTGGGCGTCCCTGTCCCACCCGGCTCCCAGCAGGCGCGCGGGGACCTGTCCAGGAGGGTCCGAGCATCTCCGAGGAGGGAGCCCCACCGCCTCCCCGGGCAGCGCGCCTTGGTGCCCGACCATCCTCACGGCAAAAAAGCTTTTTCTTACGCTTAGGTGGATTTCCCTGTGTTTCAGTTTGTGCCCGTTGCCTCTTCTCCTTTCAGTGGGTACCACAGTTACACAAAACCTCTCACCGCCCTGTCCATTTTGAGATTTGCAGGCTTCCGAGGTCCCGTAGTAGGCTGTCCATATGTGTCCATCTGAGTAGGGAGTCACGTAGTTTGTTGTGCGGATTATTGTATGACTCGCTAAAGAAAATTGTATTCCTTATTGTCATTTTTGGCATGAGAAAACAGTCTGTGTGATTTGCAGCATCGTTCTCGATTGTGTAAGGAGGACTGTAGGAGAGAGGGGCTCCTCTGGTGCTTGGCTGGTGGAGTAGCGTACTGCATTTCTCTCAGTTTCGGCTTGAAAAAGCTCTTTGTGTGTACTAGAAATTGGATTGGGCCTTTCATGGATCATGGTACAGAATAAAATTTGCTGGTATGATATAAAAGCCACTGTCATTCTGTGAAGAACACCAATTTGATATCTCTCAAATCGTAGTAATACAGCATCATTTTAGGATAAATGTAAGTATAATGTAATTATTTGTAGAAGGAAGATAATACGCTAGAGCTCACGTTACATACTGATCGAATTCATTTGCTTGGAAATAAAAAAGTGTTTTCCTGTTGAAATTTCAAACTAAGTATTATTCTGTAGTGGTGAAAATTGCATCAGTAGCAAATGCAGTCATGCCTAGCAGGAGGCTGAAAATCAAATCGCCTTACTTTCATTATCCTCACTTGACCTTGCGATCATGTTAAGACTCCTGATCTTTCCAGAAGGAGCCTTAATTTGTACTGAACTCAGTCATTGCTCAGAGCATTAAGAAACAGCAGGATGGACCCAGAGCAGAAGTCTGATTTCGAGGTCTGAGTTGGCCAACTTCTCTGGAGCCAGGAGTTCGGTATCCCCACCTCAAATCCCGTCGCCCTCCTGGAGCAGCCTCCTTCCCACCCGTGCCGTTCCCATGGAATTAACCTCTCCCTGCAGCTGCCGAGGGCCCACGGCGGCAAATCTTCAGCCCTCCGAACAGCGGGGAAATAGGTGTTCGCTTCCAGCGCTGTGAGAGCGCGGTGTTAATGGTCTCTAACTCTGCTAAAATGACGTAGATATTTACCTGGTGTGGAAGAGTTCCGGTCCAGTGGTGACACCGGTGATGCAGGATGGCACCCGAGGAGAGCATCGCTCTTACGCTGCCGCCACTTCAGGGTTGCAACTTGCAGTAAACTGTCCTTCTGTCCTGACGTGAGCACAGCGGTGCTACGTACTCGCCTTTGTCCAGGGGGTCTTTAGGCAAAGGGACTCGGGCAATACGTAGTATGTATTTTCTCAGAAACACCTATTTATTCTAATCAGATGCAAGCTTGGAAAAAGGCTGTCAGGATAAATCCGGGCCTTCTGGCACTGACGAAGGGCAGGTTCTTCGCTGATGCTTTGTCACAGGTTTGTGCGTGCAATGCATTGCCAGGTTACTTCCCTCAGGAGTGAGCTTCTGGGGTGCATGGGAACATAAAATAAAGATTAGTGTTGACTTTCAAGTCTGGGGGCACAAAAACAGGAAAGAAATATAAAACAAGATGAGCCTCTTCAGTCACTCCTTTAAAGTCTCCACTTCTTGACAAATTTTATATAAAGCTGTCACTTTTCTGTGGCTTGAAGTATAGCATAGCATTTCGCTGCTGAGCTCCTCCTTGATCACACCGCCGGACCATCCTTCCCCATAACGAGCTGTCGGAGGGCCCTGGCAGGGCCCCCCAGCCCCGCGGTTTAATCACAAACTGCAGGGTTGGGTCGCTTCTCGGCTGTCGGCGTCCGCTCCCTGCCTGCTCCGTGCACGCAGAGGAGTCCTGCCGTCCCGGAGGGTTTTCTAGGGAGGGTTAAAAATGCCCTCCTGAGCTGACAATTACTGAACTATTTTCTATCTTACCTTGTTAAAGAACAGAAGATTCCCAAGCGGCTGACCAGGGGAAGGCTGAAACAGAGGAGAAAAATGAGGAAACATCAGCACCGCAGATCACGCCTCCCCTCGAAGAGCGCATCACTCATTTCCGAGACATGCTTCTGGAGAGGGGGGTAAGAAACGCGCTTGCTTTCTTTGACATATCTCATTTATGAAAACAGGGCATCATCTAGGACCGCTACAGGAATCACTTCATAACTATGAATTAGAAGCTAAAGGAAGAATTATTGAGAGGGGTTTTTCTATCTATTAACCGTGTAGGCATTGTACTTACTGTGACTTTTCTTCTGGCCGTGCAGAGCTGACAGCGCTTTGCAGGTGCCGTTCCAAATAAATTCCTATGGACAGACCCAAAGATAACCAGAGGCGGTAGCTCCTCCAGCGCTGACCAGTGGCTCAGCAGGGCCTGGGGACCACAGCCACACGCCGTCCCACGGGTCCCGCATGGACCCCAGAAGTGTTCCTTACAGGATGAGCAGAGGACGAAAGATGCGTTGTGTGTTATCACCCGAAAGACAGCACCAGGCCCAGAACCATTCCTAGCAAGCTCTTTGCTTTTCTTTGGCGTGGGAGTGGTTTCATCGCCGCAAACTCCAATGATCCCAGCTGTGGGAAGCCAAATTCACTTACTGGTCTGCCCAGTCTGTTAGGAAAGGACGTACTGGAGTCTCAGAAGGGTTAAGAAAACCTGTCCTTTTCCCTGGACCTCCCTGAGTGCCCTCGGCCTTCCCTGAGAAGAGCCGGTGGTCCCAGCGGAGGCTGAGGTGCAGGAGCGTGGGATGCGCAGGGCTTTGGGCTGGATGGGGAGCAGAAGAGGCATCCCCTCTGTGGCCAGCCAGGTGAGAGCGCCTGGAGCATCGCTCCCCCCGCATCCAGGCCGGCGCAGACCTGGCTGCCACGGAGCTGGTACAGGTTACGGGAGGGCTCGGAGTTATTGCAGGCATTTTACCGCGACCTAATCAAGATTATGAGTCGGTAGATGGAGCATAAATTCAATTTGCAGACAGAGCCCATCAACGCTCTGAGCCTCATGACCAATGGTGAAATTTGCATTACAGATCGCGTAATAACATCCAGTGACTGATTTTATAAAGAGCTTCAAGCCTGATTTTTGTTTTCTGTGGTAGCACTTACAAACCTGTGTTGAACTGGCTGCATAAAGATTACCATCAATATGAGGAATTTTGGATACCGTTATTTATAAATATAAAATCACCTCCACAAAAGTTCATCTCGCAGTGTCCCTTCTTCTAGAAAACTGATGATTTTGAGCGTGACTGGAATTAATAAGCATACCAGGTTTAGGTCCTAATCCTGCAAATGTAAATGGGTGTATAATGGAGCAGTGTATGCAGATTTTATACCTCCTTCCAACACGCTGCAAATATGTATTCTATAGAAGTTCATGTAATTGCTGTAAAGAAAAAAAATCCAAGGTGTCTGTTGTTAGGCAGTAAAGCCTATAAAATTTATCACTAGTAATCAGCAGACTTTAGATAATTAGACCTTCAGAAGCTCAACAGTAACTTATCTCCACGGCAGACCTGCTTTATTAATACCTTTTGTTATTTATGCTTAAAAAATGCAGAAGTGCCATAAATGAGGACTGGTTGAAGACTTCTGCTGGCATATTTAAAGTCAGGGGACAATAGGTCAAAATTTGAAAGTAAGAGGGATGTTCTATAATAGGATTCCTCAAGTGTTTCCAATGTAAGAGTCAGACTTGGTCATAAAAATAAGAAATTCAGGAAATTTACTGTTTGGTTTTGCTATTATTTAAAAATGTATAGATAATAGGTTACTTTGCTTTGCCCTGAGCATTTTTTAAATGTCCAGACAAGCCGCTGGTTAGCACCAGCCGGCTGGCGTTGCTTGAAGTGCCGTGAGGCCATTAGTGTTATTTTACGCTGATTATTTAATGACTGTCTCCTGCCGTTTTCTCGTAATGTTATTTCTCAAGAAGTTACTTGATGGCGTTACAAAGGGCTTGAAGTAGATGGAGTTCTTTGGCGTAGTTCTGAATCTTCCCACATAAATTATATCAACAGAAGAATATTTATTGTAACGTTTCAAAAATAGATGTGATTTTTGGTGTAGCTTCAAGACAATGGCACAATTCTTAAATCTGTAGCAAGTTTTGCTATGTAAAAATCTCTGATATCCTCCTGGAAGTTTAAAAGTTTCCACAAAATCCTGAGGGGAAGGGGAAAATTGAGGGCTCTCCCTGGCTCCCTCACAGCCACGGCATCAAAATGTCCGCATTCCACAGTCTGCATTTCTAGGAAGGTCTCTTTGCTGGGATGCTGTCACTGAAACAAGACTTTTTTAAGGATTCCAAACGGTATTTTTTCTCAAGATTTTACCTTCTTAATATTGGGGAGAAAAAAGGGGGTTCAGGGGGTCCTAACCCCCACCTTCCTGTCTCAAAACAATTCTGGCAGCCCCAGCGTTATCCTAAAGAATAGATTAAAAAAACCCAAATAAACAGGGAGGTTTCTGTTTTGGTTTTTTTCCCCCCAGCCTGTTTTTCAGCCAGACCCAAAGAGCTCCTTTCTAGAAGGACAAGCCACTGACTCCCACTTTTTAATGCCTTTTCGTGGGGGTGGTTGGTCGGCGTGGGGTGCGGGGCACGCTTCGGGCCGGCCGCAGGGTGTCCTCGCCGCTGCCGACCCGGGTGCCTCCTCCCAGCCCTTCGCCTCTCCATCCTTGCTGGTTTTTGCGTGTTTGGGTAGCTTGTGACCAGGGTGGGCATCGCTCCCTGCCAGAACAGCGTCTCCTGAAAGCTGGGAATCCTTTGCTGATGAAGATAAATGCATCTGCTGAAAATATCAGGTGCTTCACCTTTCTGTTCTTATAAATCTTCTAGTCAGAGCCAAAATCTCAACCTACCGTCGTTGCTGGGCTTCCAGAGTGAATTAAAAATAAAATGGGCTATTCAGATAGATGCCCTTTCACTTCTAAACATATTGCTCAAACGCAGTATGTTGAATTTTTGTGAGTTTTTTTCCCTGTACTTTGCAGTCTGGTTAAGAGCAGGAGTTGAGAACTGGAAACCCACGACAAGCTCAGATCTCTCTTCTCCTTTCCGTCTGTGGCGATACTAGGCCACCGGAGTCATTATTTATTCTGGGAAGAGATGCCACCCCTGCCATCCCCAGCGCACGTGTTCCCTGGTTGAATGTCCCCTAGTAGGGAAGACGACCACAATACAATATGCATTGGGAGATTAGTCAGAATATTAATATTTTATATGCATTTGCAGAGCTCCAAAATGAGTATCCTGAACAGTGTATGACATGTAGCTAGAATTAAATTATAAATACCAGTAGCCAACATTTATTTTAGGTGTATGTCTGCAGTATGTGAAATGTAATAATTACTAAAGAAAAAATCATAAACAGGAATGATTACATGATAAATTAGCCTGAGCCTAACTAGCTTTGAGTTCAAACTGGCCTTTGTACTGGGAACAAAGCTGATGTCCGAGAGCGAGCGTAAAAGACATCCTGAAAAAAAGGATTCCTGCCACTGATCCTTCTGACGGGGGAGAACCCCAGGCCCCAGGGCTTGGCACCTGCGTGGGCACGGGGCGCGAAGCTGCGAGATGACGATGTTTGGAGGAGGCAGCCCTGAATCCCTGGATATTTTTCTGGATACGGATGGTCAGCCTCAACCAAACCCTTTCCGAGCTTCCAGTGCTAGTCACTCTACAAGGAAATGCAGTCCATTTAAACCCACTTTGCTATGTCAGAGCTTTCCTGGTTGAGTGTTAATTACTCTATCTTAATTATACTTCACATACTTAATTTTTTTACTGAATTTACTCTTCTTTGTAATTAGATGGGATGATTAGAATATTTTATGTTACTCCAGCGTTTTCTGTAACAAACTAATTAACGGTGATGCTGTACAAGGTACCAAAATCGGGCTGGGGATTTCAGTCCTACACTCCTGGACTGCCATTTCGTGGAAGCCCCGGGCAAGGGGGACTGGGCAAGTGAGGGACCTGCTCAGATTCCTGGCGGTCCTTACAGCCCACTCGCCGTAAAGAGGTTTCGGAGAAGGAATAACCTCTGTAGGAGCGTGATACCCTCATTTCATGTGGCTGCGGGGATGTGAGTGATGCTCGGGGCCTGGGGGGAACGCGGGGTCCCGCTCTGGAGAGCGGGTTTCAGCGGAAAAGGGGAGAAGCCTCGAAGTGGAGGAGATGTGACAGCCGTGCTGTTGGAGGGAATCGGCACGTTTACTACAAAAATGTGGTGCTTCAAAGATGTTCACTATTAGTTTTTCAGTGTGTGCATGCATTGACAGCCTCATTTGGGTTATAATTTAAGTTCTGGAGAGGAGGGGAGTTAAAGTTGAGATAATCGCTTAAATGGAAATTGATGCTTCTGCTGTACAAGGGGGATAATCAAATGGCATTTTCCTTTCTGCTACAGATTCTTTCCATCAAAAATTTGGAATGAGCGTCTCCCAGATACTCAGTGAGATGTCCTAGAGCAAATCAATACTAATGGTGTGGGGGCGACCAGAGCATTGCCAGAAACAGATTAAAATTCAACTTCCAGCTGCTCTGAGGCATCCTTTAGAGGGTTCATTAGCTTTCTGAACTACTCTTTTGCTTCACCTTGGAACATTTTCTTCTTTCACATCCTTATTAAAATTCCTTAATGCAACTGTGTTTGTGTACTTCACAGGTTTCAGCATTTTCTACATGGGAAAAAGAGTTACACAAAATAGTATTTGATCCACGCTACCTTCTGCTAAATTCAGAAGAACGTAAACAGGTGAGCATTACCTCCAGCGTAGCTTCTGATGGGCAGCAGACGTCTCCCAAATTAACTGTAATAACAGAGTAATCATCTTGGTAGGATAAAAAGAATTGCATAAAATTAAATTTTCTTTTTTGAGTTTTTCAGTGAGACTTGTAATTTAGGCTCTGCTCATAAGAAGGTGCTGTCTGGTTTGAAGAGCAAGTGGTAGCAGTGAGTTTGTGCGTAGAGGCGAGCTATGGTCTCTTGGGTTGTAGGAGGAACTCCTACTGAGGCCAGGAGACTGGGCTGTAGAAAGGGAAATGGCCATAACATAATGTTTCCACTCGGAATTATTTAAATATTGTAGAGAGACTACTTCATTTTTATTACTTAGAATATTTTCTAGGAGTATGGCAGTATTTACTGCTCTATGTTGCAATACTAAGCTTGCTAGACATACATGGATAGAGCACGGTGGCTATGCTGGTATCCACTTGAATGGGTTTGGTTTTTCTGGCAAGCTGCAAAGGACGGTGGATGGTGTTGCTGCCGTGTTTATTTGGGCATGAATTATCACTAGGGATCTCAAAGAACCCGAGGGCTGCAGGTTAGTCCAAAAGATTTAGGAGAGATGCAAGGATGTCACAGAGAAGGTGAATGCTTCTATTCTGTGGTTATTTCTCTTCCTTACCAGTCTTTTGTCATCCTGGGGAAGGAAGATTTTTGAATATAGAATTGTACATTTTTTAAATAAACACTGTGAAAAATGTACTTATTCCTGTTCCATTGCACTGGGGCCCATATTGTCCCGTGATTCTCCAGAGAGCTTCTTGTAGGTATTTGCTGAGGGACTGGGCACATACATCTTCATTTACTCCCTTTCCAATATTTTCTTTTCTAAGAAAAAAAGTGAAATAAAATAATACGGAACTATGGGAATGAAAATGTAAGAGAAACTGCTGGAATGGAAAACGCTGCTAGACAAGAGACTAAGCAGGGAGTTTTGTATTTATATCAGGGAATCGGCAAGGACAAAACCTGGACCTCGATGAGTCAATCAAGATACATTACTTCTTTCATTTTATCAGCCTTGGAGATGATATAATAAAAATAGATCATGAATACACATAATATAATGTGCTTGAAGCACTGCTGAGGGGGACCTCGTTTGTGGGATGTATTTAATACTCAAGGAAAGGGTTATGAAAAACAAGCAGCTGGCAGTCCTGCAGGCAGAAACCTGTACTCGGGTGGAGGTTGGCTCTGAGAGCAGCAGTACTCCAGGCTCAGAGCTAAGGTGGGAGAGGACGGTCGTCGGTTGCTCTTCTGCAGAATGGGCTTAGTAAACCAGTAAGCTCGGGAGCACATGCCAGGTGTGCAATGTATTTTAGCTACTAAGCTTGAAGTTAAGATTTCTAGACATTCGTTATGAGTAGTGCCATTTAATTAGACCCCAAGAAGTAGTTTAAGAAGAAAGTTAGACTCAGACAAGAGTAGATGCCTGATTTAATGAAAGTACTGCTTGAAGTGCAGCTCAAATTAGTAGAAGACATTATTTAGGTTTATGGAAACATTTACCTTCACGGATGCTGTGTGACCTGAATAGCGAATGTCTGAGTACTTTTTAAATTATGCAAATGAATTCATACTGGAGGGGGTTAGAGGTGAAGAGTGGCTCACAATGAAAGTAAGGACTGATGAATGAAGGAGGGAAGGAAGGAAGGAAGGAAGGAATGAGTGCCGGAGCATGGCTGGCTGTACTGTGGTTGTCTTCTCTCCGGGGTCAGGCAGACGGGTTGGAAGGGGCAGGGACAGCGTTTGGCTGGGGTGTGCAGGCGCCTGAGGGGACTTCCCCTTGACTTGAACTTGGGGTGAGGTGGGTTTGACTTCCAGCAGTGCTGTTGGTGGGTGTCCTTACGCTGCCCGAGGAACGTAACGATCTGTATTGAACAGCGTGGTTTGCTCCGCTTCCTTACCAATAGTTTCCAAAGGGTTGTTAACAGTTGAAAGATGCTCCTATGTTTAAGCAAGGAACAGTGAAGGGTAAAGGAGCAACTGTATTAATGTAATGAGCTATCTGTTAATTTTGATTTATTACCTTCATAACAGCTTCACTGATACCAGAAAGGCAAGCAATAACAGTGTCACCTATTTTATTTGTTCCATTTTTAATGTCTCCTCTCGGACTCAACTTATGCAATTGTATACAGTATAATGTGTACAGATTTCCTAGATTTTTCATAGTACTTCTTTCATGGCCATTTTTTGATGTTTACTTTTCCAGTGCTCTTTCTTCCCTTTTCCACAAAGCGTACTAAATACCAGTTGTAATTTGGTTACTTTAGCTTTCATGACATGTAGATTTGCACCTGTGCATCCTCATGGCTGATGAGAAAGCAACCGTGGTAGTAACCATAGTAATCGTATTTAATGTATGTAATTTGTGGTGGAAAGGATGGTGACTATGGAAAGCTAACAGCATTCTGAGGAGCAGCTCCTTTTATTCAACGACTTCGTGTGCCACACTCTTCAGAGCGTGAAACCAGCAGGGCCAGGTTTTTGCTATTAAAAACATGATTAAAGCAGTTGGCAGAATTTGGTGACACAGTGAACTCCTCAATTCCCTTTCAAGACACCAAATATCCCCATGCTGAGCACCCTGCTGCATATTTAGCTGCCAAACACTGTTAGAGGAAGGTTGTTGACCCTTCCAAACACATTAAAGCTTTTGGGTGTATGTGTACAGAGGATCATGTGTAAGCTCATGCTTTTTGACAACTGCTTTGAAAGGTCTTCAGGCTTTTTTGGGGGTAACCTACAGAATATTGATGTTTGGCATTATAGACATTTTCAGGAATTCCAGCAAGTTGGGAAAGATGCGAGATCCAAACTAAATAAATGTAGTCAGTTGTACCGATGTACAAAAATAATGCTTTAGGCATGAAAATGCGAGCAAGACACTGAAGTCAGGAAATTTTTATTTATGTTGCACTTGATATTTGAATAAAGATGTTATCTGTTCAAATCATACTTTTTTCCAGCTACTTATTTTGTGAGAACATGATCAGTGAAGCAGATTGAGCCGCATACGAGGCAGCCTATACTGGGGCATGATAAGAACTGCAGGTCGTGAGATTGACAGCCCTTTGATCAAGCATAAATACCATAAAGGCTTTGTTAATAAATGCTGTATCTTGTTTCCCTTTCTTGGAAAGATATTTGAACAGTTTGTCAAGACCAGGATCAGAGAAGAGTACAAAGAAAAGAAAAATAAATTGTTGTTAGCCAAAGAAGAATTTAAAAAGCTCCTTGAAGAATCCAAGTTATCGCCAAGGTATGGCATTGCCTCGTGAAGATTTGTTAAGATAAGCTTTCTCATTTAGCCTGTGCTTATCAGCCCCGACACGCTGAATGTGCTCTTTATAGCAAGCTTGGGCATCCATCATTACTATGCTCTGTTGACATTTCTTCCCTGATATTTTACAATATTTTGTTTTATTACTGAGAAAGGGAACGAACCGTTTCTCTCTCTGTTCCTTTCTCTCTCTCTGTCATTAAGAATGTGTGATATTTTGCATAACGCGTTTATTTTATATGCATATATATGGTATAATTATAGAACACACACACATGTATATATTAACTATATGAAATCAGTACCTGAATGCTAAATCACATTTATATTAGGCATACAGGTATAGCTAGTGAAAAACTGTATTTTGGTTTGTTTTTTGATGGAAGAGAAACGTAATTTAACCAAGTTAGTATTAGTGCCACCTGACTAAATTGAAATAAAGCATGCAATGCAATGATGTATTTTTCTACGTTGATTTTTAAGTAGTGGATCCAAAACTGCACAATGGCGAACGCAGTGCTTAGGGTGGCACTTGCTCACTTGTGCATTATATGAAAATGAAGAGATTTATATATTGTACGCCTGGTTAAATTGTTGGAACTAAGAAATCACAGTTTTCTCTACTAAAATATGCGGGTAATTGTACAGCACTCCCTGCCTAGACACATAGATTCAAACAACGCCATCAGGCTCTACAGAAGTAATAATTATAAGAAGTTTTTTACAACAAAACTGAGAATATTCTGGGCTAATGTAGCAGCTAAACGCTGGTTCCAGCAATGATGTTTTCAACCAGCAATGGCAAAATCGTGCTGGCCTACAGGACAGAGAGCATTTTACCGGTTGATGGTTTTGGTGAGCTGACTGAGACCACAGCATCAAAGAAACTCGTCTACCGGCAGCGGTCCCCGGCTTGCTTTGGGTATGCAGTCACACGCCCTGTGTGCATTGGAAAATGCCGGACCTGACGGTGAAATCCTGAGGCAAAGCCGCCTGCGGATTTCAGTTGCATTGTGCCCATCGCTCGAAGTTACAATTAGTTTTTTGCTATTTTTAGAAAAGATCAAACTAGCGTGGTATTTCCTCAGGTGTCCTGTACTACGGACAGTCAAAGTGCGTTCGTTTGCAGTTAGACACGGGTGTGGTTTTCGGCCCGGTTACAGGCTAATTATTGAAATACTGGCCATAAGCACCGGCAGGCAGAGATGAAAGCCGCAGTAACCTGGGCTGCAACAAATACTGTGTTAATGATTCAGAATTGTCCTGTCGGCTATCACCCAGATTTTTCTAAATCAAAAAAATGGAAGTTACCTGTCACAGGCTGATCTGCGCGTCCAAAGCCCGGGCAGTTCTGGCGTGGCCTCGCCTCCCTCGTCCCGGGGTTGCCGTCACGTTCCTGCCACACGTTCCCCAGAACGCCCGTTTTTAGTGTCTGTCTGAAAAGTGAAGTGAGATCCAGGTGAAAGAGTCCGGGTGTGGACTGACAAAGTGGCGGCTTTAAAATGTCTCTCTTTTCTGCAGAACCACGTTTAAAGAATTTGCAGAGAAATATGGAAGGGACCAGCGGTTTCGCCTTGTTCAAAAGAAGAAGGACCAAGAGCATTTTTTCAATCAGTTCATACTTATTCTTAAAAAGCGGGACAAAGAAAACAGGATAAGGCTACGGAAAATGAGATAAAAACTCCTGAAACTGGCAATAAATCCGCAAGTTGATGCTGTGACTGCAGTAAGAAATTCAAATGAAGGCTAACGCGTTTGGGGTTAAACATGCAACAGCTTGACGAGGAAGCGGGCATCCCTGAGAAAAACTTTTGCTAAACGGAGTTTATTGAACAGATATTGAATTTGTGAGGGCTGTTCTGCAGGAATCTGAAGGATATTTTGTTCTCAAAAAATTAATGTTTCATATTGAAGCTCTCTTTTGTACAACATCCAGAGTTTGATGCATTTCTAATTGCCGTGATATGTCAATCCCTTAATTGTTTTAATTATGCAAATTACTTGTAATATACACAAATTATGAATCCAATGCAGATTTGTAATTAAGCAGAAGCAGATGCCATCCATAACAATCTCAAGATATTTTCATCATTTAGGGGAATTATCTGAAGCAATCTTTTGGCAACTTTATGCGTTAACATAAAGTGTTTAGAGGTGCGGTGGTGTGCAGGAATTCATTACCCGGTGTTCACACGTCTCTGTCCAGTTCTCTGAGTAGTAGTAATACGATATTAATTGTTAATCTTAGTGAAGAGTGTGAAAATCTCGGCGTATGTTCCATAGGAAAACTCTAAGTTTCAGAATTTGCTTTCTGCTTACCGTGACTGGTGCTTTCAGGCACGCAGGCGATAGCAACACTTCTCCGTCAGAGTTCCTAGAAAGAAGTTCTTTCGTAAAACCATCACAGTGTGATTTCAGTTATGTTACTGTATGTGAAAAGTCTGCATGAGATTTTTCTCATCATATTTGTATAAATAAATATTTAACTTTTTTAATTAATAAACATTTTAAGCCAATTTTCAGGGGGTTTTAAGTTTCTAAACTTTTTAAAATATTGGTTAAAATAGTGCAGGGCTCATGGTTTTCACTTGGGAGGTAGAAAACCAGAGAGAGCTCCGAGCGCTTGTGATGTGTATGGAAATTCCAGTAGTGGCCATTGGAGTTCTGAGCACCTGGAGAGCAAAGCAGTCGCCCTGAGGGCGCAGGTGGGATGTCAGGGCTCGAGGAGTCGGCACAGCACCACCGAACATCAGTGTGTCCCTTCCTTTGTGCTGAAGGAAAGACGCACTCTCCTCTGTCATCACCATAATTTTCTCAGTTGTCCTCACTTTTAAGTTATTACTCATTAGATTTATAGATTTCTATTTGGTAGGAGTGATTTTGATATTTTCCCCAACTGATGGTAATTTTTCTTTAGATGTGTGCTGGATATTTTTTATAATCAAGGAAATAAAGGGTATTTTGTAGTGCTTTGGAAGAATGAACTCAGATTAATTAAAATAAGAGTATTTAAGATGCGTTTTAGAAAGTATGTAGAGTTGCAAACTTCCACATGAAAAAAGTTGTCACGTATTTCTATGCGAGGAAGACGAAAGCTGCTATCGGTGCGAGCGAGGAGACGTGTCGCTGTGTCGGAGTTACCGGTTAAACAGATGCTCACCTCTGCACCGAGGGTTGTACTGCAGGACCGAGTGAGCTGCAGTGCGAGCCGATAGATGCAATTTGATTTTTACATGGCTTGTGGGACTTGTGATAGCCACTCACCTCCAACTCTATTTAACAATTATTTTTCCAGCACTGGAAAAGCCTGGTTTGCTCCCCCCGTGCGACTCGGCAGGCCCCCATGAGTTGTGCGGAGACCAATGCTGCTCGCTGGTACGCGTGGCAGGACGAGGCAGCTGCGACCCAGAAAAAAGACGTAGGTCTGTCGGTAGATCTGAAGACAGACTTCACAGGGGTTTTCATAAGGTTTTGCAAATTTTCCAGTTAAAAAAAAAGTAAGGTGCAGAAAAACAATGAGATCTTGCTTTTATGACTGAAGCTGTGTCAGTGGCTTATACCCCTTGTGTTGTTTTAAATGTATGTGCATATCTAGACCCTATACCGCTGTCCCCTATTTCAAACATGAATAAAATGGGGTATTATTACATTGGAGATTCTCCTTGATTTTAGCAATGTCAGAAATCCTCGTCATGTGTGATAGTGAATGGTTATTTGCTTGATGTTCTTGTGAAATTCTGTGAAACGCCAGAAGTGATCAGTGGCGGTGGTGATCCGTATCTGTTAGAAAGCCTCCAAGTTCAGGTCTGTTTTCTTGTATTTAAAATGGAGGAATATGAAAATAAACGCAACTAGCCCCATGATACAGCAGAAGGAACTGTGTATATTAAGGCACATTATAGTGCAAAATACTGATAGTCATCCAAGTAAAATACGTTAAGAGAAGTGCTTCAAGTTTGTGGAAGCGTGTGATCTCATCCCAAATAATATTTTTATGGTCTATTCATTTCTCAATGCCCTTAAGAAATCCTCCTCTCACTGCAGGTGCCTCAAATTAAAACAGTCTCCTCTCTTGTTATTAATATGTAAGAAAAATGACTTTGTTGGGAGTGACTGCTTTTCAGTGTTCATCAGAAGTCTCCTCAGACGATGGCAGGGCCCGTCCACGTTACCTTCTCCTATTCCTATATAGAAATAGTTTTGCTGAGCTGAAAAAGAAACCTGGGTAACAATAAGAAACAACAAAAGCGTTTTAGATTTTAACTTAAATCACAGAGCACCTTGTTAGGGATGCCGTATGTATTGCCTTTGGCTATAGGTGGTAGTGGAGATGCTGCTCCCCATCCGGGTTTGGTTCCTCGCCCGCCTCGCGAGCGCGGCCGGTGCCGGGGTGGGTGCGAGCGAGACGGCCCCGTGCTCGCGGGGACGCCCTTCTGCCGAAAGCAGGAGCGCCTGTTCTCGGAGCCAGGGCTCAGAAAATGAAACGGCTTTTGTGTATCCTGTATGTAATGCCACTTCCACCAGGTATAAGAATTGTCAAAATACACGCATTAGCATTGTAAATATAAATGAATTAGCATTCATGTCTAATATCTTAAAGAAAAACCTTCTATCACAACTTTTTAGTCCAGTCTGAGATGAATATAGCTGCTTTTTGCTTTACCAAGTTATCCTTTGGATTGCTATAGTATATAGCACATAATAGCCATTAATATTCTAATTATTATTGTTTATAATCATATTACTTTAATAAAATATAACTACTCTAAAGTGAGGAAGGCCTTGAAGGTTGCAAGTGCCTTTGATGGATCCAAAAGCTCGGCAGGCAGATTGGCTCCAGGTCCATCCGTTTGGCCTGCAGATGGTCGGGCGAGGCTGGTTTTGTCAAGGTTAGAGGTGACGTTGGTCTGGCCTCCAGGCATGGAAAAATGAGGCATCCCTGATGTCAAATCCAGCAATGCTTGGAGAAAAAGGAGGCCCGGTGCTTGGTTGGGTTGTGCTTCCCCTGGGAACACCTCCGGGGAGGCGCGGGAGCCCTCCGCACCGCTTCAGCCTGGCGCTGGGGGTAACTTCACGGGCGATGTGGAAATCACACAAGAATGATGGCCACAAATGTGTGACCATCATACATTAATGGCCTGTAGCGGGTGCCGGGACGTTATAGCTGTATGAATCCGGGGGAGAACACCTACGGAGCCACACGTAACACCCCAGCAGCACTGCGGCCTGTAGGCTGGGTGCAGCTGTGGAGGCAGCGCCGATCCGCCCAGCTCGCTTACGGAGCCCACGCACAGCCCGGAGCGTCTTCAGGAAACTTTGAAAAGCGCTAGGCTCCATTAAATGGTCAGAGCTGGTTATTTTTCTCAGGAAATATACTTTTTTCCAGGATTAGTTATTTCTTTTCTGCAATATATCTATATTTTCATATGCTGGGATGCACGCTTCCAAGTGTCTTAGCTGAGATGTGGTAAGGACAGACAAACAGGCCTGCCTCCCATTGCACCGTTGGCAGGATCTCAGCAAAAATAGTTTTGAGTGGAGCTCCCCTGTGCGAGGTGATGCGGCGGCAGCCGGACCAGGGAGCGCAGCCCCCATCACCAGAGGACACCAAGGAGAAGAGGAGGGGCTCATGTAAGAGAAGATAAAAAAAACTCCAAACTAAAAGCCCCAGGCTTGCTTTGGCCAGCGCAGTTAAGTCTAGAAAGGGAGATCGTTACTCTGCACAGTCACGTTAGGAGCGGGGTAGCACAGCAGGAGAGGATGTTTACCAAACCTGAACAACTCCACAAGAACAAATCAGAGTAAACTGGTTTTCATGAGTTAGGAGGTAATTTTCAGGACTCTCTTTTTACCTTCTAAAAGGAGGGCACTCTTCCTTTTATCTGGGTAATCAAGAGGAAAATCTAATTATTCCTGACTTGAGTAACCCATTGAATTCTTTCCTAGGGTGGTTCCAAGGGCGTAGCACTCCGGGTGGATAGTGACTGGATCGTTCAAATTATTTTGTTACAAATTTTGTTCATCTCCAGCTCTCCAGGAACCCCATGTTTCCTAATACCTGTCACATTAAAACAAGTGAAATCCATCTTTTAAGTCCTGGGCTCGCCAGGATCACCTGAGGGGGATTCGTGACCCCCGGTCCCTGCCCCGATGCAGGGGTGGGGGGCTGCCGGGGCCATGCTTCCTCCCATCTTCCCCTGACCCAACGCAGTTTTTCTAACCCCGGTCTATTTACAAGGACCCGATCACCTCCAAGCCCCTGTACCACGGCTTCTCCGACTCACACGTGGGGGATTTTTGAGAAGAAACACTCAAAATGAACACCCAGCCTCCCACAGCTACGTGCATCTGTTAAACCGGAGGTAAGTGCTGAGCTTGATCCCATGAAGGCTTGGACTTACCTGCAGCCGTTTCTCAGCTTCTGGGCTCAGCTGGGTCGGACCTGCCCTGCTCCCAGCCCCGGCTCGGACTCACCTGGGCCAGGGCTGGGCAAGAGGAGCCGACCTGGGGTTGCTGGCGTGGGTGCGCTGGGCTGGTTTCTTCTGAGCCTGTGATGAGCACTGGTGGTCTGGCTGTTGAAAGCAGGAAAAGGTCAAATTATACTGAATGTCTGAAAATGAAAAAGAAAAAAAAAAAACAAACGAGGGGGGGGGTGTTTGAGAAGCTTTCCTTTTTTTT